TAAGCTATTTAAATTTTAATTACAAGCACTTATAGTCCTTGACTGGTCTCAGGGTCTTGTCTGAAAATTCCAAAAAATGTTTTAAAAATCATTACTTTTTAAAACTTCGAATTATTAGAGATTATTTAAAAAAATTAAATTGACTCCATAGCCTTTTTATTTTATGATGAAACAAACTTATTTTTTTAATGAAATAAAACAATATTGGTAAATTTTTACTACACTCCTTATAAAATAATAGTCGGGATGAGGCGGGTACTAAAGTAAAGTAAAGTGTTACAGTTAAAAATTAAATACCAAAATATTGAATTCTTCATAAATCCACTTATTTAGAGTTTTATTATTTATTTTTTTCAGTAAACAACCTGTAGCTTGTTTAGTTTACCGGACACGTGGTCCTGGGGGTAGACAACGACTTAAAATAAAAACAGTTGACTACTTGGCTAAAATAGTGATCTTATCAAAATATTTCGAAAAGTATACCCCAGTTCTCATTAAACAGTCGGGTCAGCATGACTATATCTACCGTTAACTGTATTTGAGTTGAATTTGAATTATTGAATTGCTTACACTGGTCAATACCAAGTTTATTCAATAAACTTTATTGTCTAAATATTTTTAGCTGATTTAGGACAATTTTGAAGTGCTGAATCCAAAAATTCACATTGTTTTTAATGTTTGTTTTTTAATTTTTTGCTCAATCAGGTTTTTTAGGCTTTTGTTTCTGCTCACATGTCCATTAAAATATCTAAATATGCAACATATTTCACACAATAAAACTAATTATTATGTTAATTATAAATTTATTAATAAACCCATCAGAAGTATTTCAAGCCAAAAAATAGCTTCATAAATATTAAAACACGCCTCCAAAATATTTATAAACCAATAACAAGCAAGAAAGTGTTTAAAACACACCATACACTGTACAATACAAAACCATAGAATATAAATCAGAAAGGTTGCTTTATTAGTCATTATAATTTAGGTCTACCGCCAAAATATTGCATGGACATCGTAGTAAGCATACCTCATCACTTTTTAGGGCCAATTAGGAATAACTAATACTAAAGTTATATAATTCAGGAGTTAATTTCTCAATGTCAGTCTCTCAGATTCCACTAAGGGCCATGTCACTCTAACTGCTGATATTCAAGACCTCATTCACTTCCACACACACTATCAAGAAACGACTCAGCAGCTTGTTGACCAGGATCAAGCTTGGATGACACACATGTTATGTAAGACATGTACCGATTATCTGCATTGGTGGACCAAGGGCAAGAAGAGTTGTCTGAAATTTGGAATTCCCATGGTTTGGAGGGAGCCAAAAAACTATAGCACTGACTGCTACTTCTGTGCTATTGATGTGACTGGGATCAATAGAAAGATCCGGAGCCACCTCAAGTATCCTGATCTTCAATCAGCATGTCGTCCTGTAGCTCATTGTGTTGAAATTCCAATAACTGTCTTTGGAGAACTTCCTGACATTAGTGAGAAAGATTTCTCAAGTGTTCAAGTAGAAGAAAAAGAATTGGTTTTTGACAATGATGTTCCACATCCTTTTTCCCCAAAATGAATTAAATGATCCCATTCACAATCTCAGCTTCTCAAAGTCCACTGCCAAACTGTTGGCATCTAGAGTGGTTTATTTGCATTGACCTGAAGATGTTGCAGTTTTTGTTGGAACAACAATCAAGGTTCACCAAGTATCCATGCTTTCTGTGCATGTGGGATAGTAGGAACACTGCTCAGTATTACACAAAAAAAGATTGGCCTGTTGGGAAGGAATTGATGCTTTGCACAGCAACAAACATCATCAATAAGCCTCTAGTGGACAGAGACAGGATACTTTTCCCACCGCTGCACATCAAGCTCAGCTTGATCAAGCGGTTCAATAAAGCTCTGGACAAGGATAGTAGCTGCTTCACATTGTATTGGGAAAAGGAGGAGTAACAAAGATTGCCCAGGGGTGTCTGTGCATCTCCTACCCCCCATTAGAGTTAGTATCAGAAGCATACTCATAGGCTGAGGGCATGCATAGGGAACTTATTGTATTTGAGAAAAAAAAGATTTTGGACTTAAAATATAATTACTCCTGTCATAGACACAAGGTGGGAGTGACAGTTGTTTTTCAAATTCATTAGAACCAGCTGACCAAAGGGACAGGGGGGAAGATTAAGGACAGGCGTGATAACTACAAAGTATAAGTCGCAAGATATCCTCCTTGAAAAGCATACAATGGCAGTAATGTGCAGGTAAACGGTATAGATGCCTGTAAAAATTTTATATACATATATCAAGATATCTGACTGATGTCAAATCAGTCAGGTTTCAATCACAACTTGAAGCAATTGGAAGTCTAGCCACACTGAGGAGCTGTGATACAGCGAAACAGTCTGTCTGTGAATGACTATATATGTGCTCCCAGAAATCCATTTGAGCTCTCTAGGAAAAGGGGGTTTTAAAAACAGCGACTCCTACTGCTATTAAGCATTACTCTTCAAATATGAATTGAGTTCTCTGAGCTGCTAGTGTATTTTGTATAGAGAAAAATGTTAAAATTCCCTTCCTTTCTGCCATGCAACGATGGTGTAGGCATAAGATATCTGACTGATGTCAAACCAATTGGGTTTCGATCCCAACTTGAAGCAATTTTAGATCTAGACACACTGAGAAGCTGTGATACAGCAAAACAGTCTCTGTGGATGACCCATATATACAGAATGTTGCAACAAAATCTGACACTATACAAAAAGAAAACGAAATAGGCAATAAAAACAAAAGTTGTATATGCAAAGACCCAACAGTTTATTTAGCAACAGTTACATACTACATTATTCTTCAATGTAACCGCCACTGTCGGCGATGACTCTCTCAAGGTGGGCGCTAAATGAGTCACATGCGTTGGCAACCATGTCCTTGTCCATAGTGGTGAACGCCTCCATGATGGCAGCCTTCAGAGAGTCAACTGTGTTGTGGGAGTGCTTGTTGGTCTTGGCCTCAATCATGCCCAGAAGAAATAGTCAAGGGGTTGCAGTCAGGTGAGGAGGGCAGCCACAAGTCCAGCAACCAGTTGTGAGGAACATTGTTGAGCAGCCACGCCTGAGTCGTCTTGGCCTTGTGTACAGGAGCAGAGTCCTGCTGGAAGACATAGGGATGTCCGGCAGCGATCTCGTCCATCCAGGGCTTCACCAAGTTCATGAGCACCTCCTGGTAGATTTCAGCGGTGATTCTCAGACCCTTTTGAAAGAAGAATGGAGGTATGACGTCCCCCTCACTGGAGATGACACCAAGGAACATGACGGCGAATGGAAACTTTGTATGCTTCACAACAGGACCCTCCTCAATGTCTTTGCAGATCTACCTGTTGTTCTGCCTGTTGCTCGTCTGGTTTTGGACAAAATCAGAGAAGAACCTCAGCATCCCGGTGGACCCATGCTTGAGCTTGTTCAGCAAAGCCACTGCCTTGACCTTCTTTGACTCCTTGGAGGCATTCATGATGAGCATGCAGTTAGACTTTGCAGTAGAAAGAGTAACCAATGTTCTTCTTGATTGTTTGGCAGATCATTGACTTGTGACAACCCATGTAAGCAGCAGTCTTGGTGTAGCTCTGGTTTCTATCATTGTCAACTGTCTCCTTGATGGCGGCGATGAACTCGTTGGTTCTAATGGCCGAAGAATGAATGTTGTGGGCCTTTTCTTTGGCAGTAAACTCGTCCTTGTTCTCACACGCCTTCCACTTCCTCCAAATGTCCATGACCATGGTCCTCTTGAAGCTTATCCAGGCCATCACTTCTGCAGGCTTCTTCTCGATGCAAAAACTAGCTCATATTCCATCCTGGAAAAAGGTAGAGAGAAAAACATTAGTTAGTTGTCAAACTGTCAGGTATCTGCATATATTTGTTTTTATTGCCTATTTCGTTTTCTGTATATGCCTTACAGCAACTCTTTCCGAATCCTCTGCACTGTCCTCAGATTGACACCAAAACACTATAGGATGCCGTTTCCAAATTTCTGGTGGAGTGAATTGCATCTTAGTGCTCTTTTTCTCACCGATGTCCCCAACTGACCCTACTATACTGTACAGTCGACAAAGTCAAAAATAAAAACAGGCATGCGCGAAATTATAAATATAATAATCCCTCAAAACATCATGATGTTAACTGGATATATCATCCAACTGTTTCCAAATCCTCTGCACTGTCCTCAGATTGACACACAAACACACTGAAATGTTCATATATTGGAATTTCTGGGGTAAATGCCAAGCAGTACAGCATGCTGTTTCTAAATTTCTGGTAAAGGGAATTACAACATGGTACTCTTTTTCTCACAAACGGTGCCCAACTGACCCTACTGTACTGTGCAGTTGACAAAATTGAAAAAAAAAGCAAAAAATAATACATATGAAATTTAAAAAGACGACAATTTACCTATCACACCCTTGCGATAGGCAACAATAAACTACAGAAGAACTCAAAATTGATCACTGCATTGAAGTATTGCATTAATATTTAAGCTTACCTTTTGAAAGTTCAACAATAATTCTTCTGCCACCACTTAATTTAAAGACAATTTGATGAATGTAGGTCCTTACTTTCCATACAAAAATTATTTTTATTTCACAGGTGACTTTTGCTGAATTTCACAAATTTGATTATAAGTTATAAAAATTGTTATTGTACAAAAAAATTTGTTGCAAAACATCATGTAAAAAAATCACTGAAAACAATTGCAGTAATGAAAACTTGTGAATCCCAAATTTTGGGATTGCAGGTCTGGATCCAGCCTGGAATGGTTTTAATTTGCTTATGGAGTTGTCCTGATTCCAAAATGGTATGATATGTTGGGCTATGTCTTCTAGGAGTAAAGTTGAAAAAGTGTGACACACTGACATTCACATTTATTATATATATGAAATAGGAGACTCGGTTTTGTCTATGAAATGAACTTGAGAGTAAAAATATTGTTTTTTTTTTTCCTTGATTTCAGAAATGATGTCTAACAACACATGTTACCCTTCATTCAGTTTTCTTCCCTTGCAATGGAACCATCATCCTCGTCGTAATTTCTTCTTAGATTGTGGCACCCTGGGAAGTGTATATGTTTGTGAAGATGGCGAAACATTGGTGCAAAAGACACACAACGATCAAAAATGTCACCTCTGTGCGCAGTTCCCGAGCCTGCCTCTGTTTAAGAAGCCGAAATATGGTATTTTTATGATTATCAATTTTTTTTTTTTTTTTTTTTTTTTTGTTAATTAAATTACAATCTGTAGCAGCTTTTCTCAACTGGTATGCTTGGACACACTAATGCAGACTGAAAGTAGCCAGGTGTGCCCCAAGTTAACAGAAGAGTAATTTATGAATTATTTTTATATTTAAAAAATCTTTATTCTTAAAAAGCAAGAGGCGCCAAGCACATCACTTCTATGTCTAAGTCTTTGTCATTTGATATTTTACACTGGATGCAATATTCCTTAGTCTTTAAGGCAGTGGTTCCCAAACTTTTCTTCTCTTGGCAACATTGTTTAAATGAAAATTTGCTTGCATCTCACTAAGAAAAAAAGTACATTTAAAAATAAACAGAGAAGGTTTAAGGGAGATTATTATTGATAACTCTCTCCTACAATTTGCGAACCCTAGGTACTATATTCTTAATACTTGATATAATGCAAAAAATCACTGATAAAATCGGTCAATAATTATTTATAACTATTTATCTTGGGACTCACGCATGCAGTTACAACTAATAATAATGTTTTAAATTTTGAGATCAGATTATTTTGGGAGTATGAATTTTTTAAAACTGTTTCTATATCTTTGATTGTCCTAAAGTCATTCCACTTCACCTGCTATCCACTTCCACCTCACATACGACAAGTGCCACACCATTTGGGAACCACTGCTTTAATGAATGGATAATCATTTTCCTTTTGCTTTTCTCAAGGAATTTAAATCTGTCATTATCAGCTTTTCTAAAAAAAAAAAAAAAAAATAGATTCTTCATAAGTCCCTTTCAATGAAAACTCTAGTGCTAAACATTTTGTGAATGCTATTTCAAAGTTTCATATTTTCAAATTTCATGACTAATCTTTCCTTCTTAAAATGTAAAATACACCCCAGTTTCTTTTGTTTTCTTAATAGTAGATAGGTTCTCCTATTGCCCAATCCATACTCCCCCACCCTTCTCTTAAACAGGGTTAGAAGCCTATCCCTTATTTCCTGTGTAAGAACAAGTTCCCAGTCCATGTCCTTTTCTCAGGCCTTAATAGTGGTGCTGTCATAAATTTTTTGCCATCTTGGGTAAGACGATAAACTACGTACAGCAGCAAGGCATCTATCAGGAGGTTTTGAGGAGCGTAGAACCACCTCTTAATTGCTGGTGTTCCCAGGTCCACCTTGACCCAGGGTGGTAGCACCTGTTAGGGTTCCAGCTATGGGCAAATAGTTAACTATTACCAGCAATACTTTTTTGAAAAAAATTATTATCAGCAATACAATTTTGATGGAAATATATTACCAGAAACAGATTTTTGTCAAAACAAAATATTACCAGCAATAAAAAATATTAAATATTAAATAACCCATCGAGGTTGATATGCCGTAAAACAAAATAAACCAAACCATAAATTTTTTGTGATGTGCATGGTTGTTGACAATGTTTCTTCATACTGAGGGTACCAGGTTGGCAGTTTTCCGTTTGCTGTTCCCAAATAGTTGCTAGGAGCCTGAACTCTTGTGTAGCATCTTGGGAGGCTTCTCTGATCAAAAGTTGCATAATATCACAGTTCTTGCGATGCCATGTCACACATGGATGGGTGTCTCTGGAAGCACCTCTGATGGGCAACACCAAGGCCACACTATGTTGCAGTCTGTGCCATTTCCCTTCTGCACATATTACATTTGATGACTGACTGCTGCTACTACCCTAGGTTCTTTATTTACCTATATAACACATCATTACTATAAACAACCAAAAATATAAACCTACACCAGCTCAACAAAAATCGCCTAAACCTCTTAACCTTTCCTTCTCCAACATTCGTAGTATTCATACCAACTTTTGCATTGTGGAATCATTCCTATTCGAAAAGTTTTTGGACATCCTAGCTCTCTGCGAAACTAACCCTAACTCTTCAAGCCCTACCTCTGATCTCTCAATTGCTGGCTACCTTCCTTTACTTAGAAAGGACTCTAACGTCCTTATGAATGACCTGGGAGTTTATGTTCACAAATATCTCCTGCACGCTAGGGAAATCTCTCTTGAATCTCCAGACCATTCATAAATGTGTCTCCATCTCTCTCTACTTAATTCAGTCAACTCTACCGTTCACCTTCCTTTCAAGATTTCTTCATACTAGATAGTATTTCCAATAATAGAGACAAAGCCATCTCCCTACAGGCATTTGCAAACATATTCGTGTTCAGTGACTTTAATGCCCACCATACCAGGTGGCTTAAACACTCTGTCACTGATCTTGCCAGCATCCAAGCCCTTAACTTTTCAATCACTCAATTTCTCACACAAGTGGATAACTTTCCTATGCATAAGCCTGAAGGAAGGGCTTCTCAATCTCTTTTTTACCTCTATCCCTGACTTTTGTCATGCTATGCCAACTCTGATCACACAGTAGTGTCTATAAACATCTCCTCCTGCTCCCTCACCAACCATGAACCATCAACAGTCAGGCTGGGACACATTCCATAATTTCATTCTCGATGTCCCTTGGAATGTAGTTTTTAATAATCACATTCAAAAATGCATGTCTGAGGTCTCCTCCTGGGTGAAAGCCAGCATTTATGCTTTCATTCCAACAAAGAAATACCAAGTTAAACCCAGTTCAATATAAGAATGCAGCCTGAAGCATAAGTGAATTTAATGAACCCACCTGGAATTTGAACTCGGCTCTCTGATGCCTCTTTCTGAGCCTCTGTCCATTATCCATTACACCACCTGCATATCGAGTGACCACAAAGTTAGAATTATTAAATTTCAAACATGTAATAATTTTCAAATTTCTTCATTAAAATAGGTTTCATACATAGGAAATGCTTCACAGGAAGATAAAGATTTTCTTTGATCTTCACAAAAATATCTAAAGCGGAATTTAGTATTTTTCTTTTACTGCTATGAAACATGCTTGAAAAAGTTTGGTATTGAAGGCTGAAGACTTATTATACATATACATGACTGGTTTTTAAATTTATACTATTTTAGAGTTACACCTCTATAAAAAAAATTTACACCTCCTAGATCTGTGTTTCTTCAACCGTATGAGAGAAAAGACTGGGTATTGGAGAGATTGGGGAAAGGATAGAGGATGAAAGAGGGATCAAGGCAACAGAAAATGGCGATTGACATTGCATTTAAATTTTTGTAGATTGTAGTTATCAGGGAAGCAAGTAAGAGGAAGGGAGTTCCACTGTCAGGAAGTGTGAGAAAAGAAACAGCTGGTATAGAAGTGAAATGGACTTAGTATAATCCAATTAGTAGAGTAAAAATGTCTTAGTTTTCTACAGAATTTAAGATTCTGATTATTATCGTGCTGCAGATGATCTGATGTTGTAAATATATTAGAGTGTGCAGCTTATATTTTATATCATAAAGAAACAATTTATACAAAGAATTAAATAGCAATGTTAATGTGATTAATGGTGAAATCACTTCACTAACAGGACTTAATGAGACATTAACTTACTATCAATTCCTTGAATAATAAGATCCTTATATTCGAGTTATTTACAGATGGAAGACACATGCCAAGTACTTTTGACAATTTCAAATTGTCATCTTCAGGACACAATTTTCTTATACATGGACTCAGTATAATAGTTGTTGTCAGATGGAAGACACATGCCAAGTCTTCCATCTGACAACAATATAAGGATCTTATTATTCAACGAATTGATAGTAAGTTAATGTCTCATTAAGTCCTGTTAGTGAAGTGATTTCACCATTAATCACATTAATATTGCTATTTAATTCTTTGTATGATATATATATATATCTTATGTGTATATTATTAAATATAACAGACAACTAATGTCTATTATGTTTGATCATGAGTTGTTTCAAGCTTTGTATCGTGGCTTTAGTTTCAGGAGAAAATAAAGACAAAAACTGTCCAACATTTGGATATTTTTTTATTATGCTGTTCCTCAATCTAAGCTTTTGTATTGTTCAAAATGGCCTGTAATTTTGAGTGGTACTCATGTTTGTTTAAAATGACGAAAGTTAGTTTTATCAGCTCATCGGGTAACAATACTATTGTTATTTTTAGTCATGTGGCTGCTTTTATTAAAGCAGTGTTTGTAATCCCATTCAGATTTTTATGATAATGGTGTTTAATAGATTCGGCTTTAAGTAATTCTTTTCAACCTACCTGTGTAGTAATATGGCTGTCTTGTTCCAATAGAAGTATTTGTTGGTATAAAGCTTCAGTTTGCATTTGTTTAAACATTGAATTAAGTTTCTGTGTGACATGAAAATAAAACTAAATAATGAAAATAAAGCCACTATACAAAGCTTTGTATCATGGCTTTAGTTATATATATATACATACATATATATATATATATATATATATATATATATATATTTAAAATATGGGGTTCCAACCATGTTTCAAAAATGTATTTTATAAATAAATAAAAGATTAGTTCTATTTCATCTTCAAGTTTTGGCTTTTAAAATTTACAAAAACAGCTAAAATCACGTTTCATAGTATTTCTGGAATTTAATGTTCTCAAAGCAATCAGTCTTTGTAATTATAGCATTTGATATCTTAAAATTTAGTAATAATTAGTAATAAAAGTAATCTTAACATTTTAGGAAAATATTCTCCTTAATCTAATGTTTTATTGAATTATTGGTTTGTATGTTAATTTAAATTTTACTATTTTTAATCTTGTTTTATTTTCTTGGTATGATAATGTCACGTATGGACATTCATATTTTCAAATATCAAAATGTTTATGCATATAAAAAAAAATTATTGGTGTTTGATGACTAAGCTTTTCTATTTATGATTAGTAAATATAGTTTTTAATTAATAACAATATCACCTAACCTGTAAAAATACAGAAGTTAAAATATTTAAAACTTTATAAATTATTCTAATTAAAATCCTTGTAAAAATTCATTATTTACTGAAAAATTTTTTTTTTCTTAAAACAATAGTGTCCATAAAATATCATATTCATATAAGTAATTAAAAGCTTTTCTAATTAAATAATGTCTTTGTTTTATTGCATTTTTTATTTTATGATTCAGAGCAGATTTTTGGTAACTGGGGGTCTTGTATTACAAAAAGAAATTTATGATTTAAATTCTCCAACAAGTTCTACTTTTAACTAATATAAACATTAAGCTGTACAAAAATTTAATTTCTCAATTTCATAAAATTAAATAAGTGTCAGTGGGGGGGGAGACATAAAAAAAAACAATAAATACATTATTACCAAGATTTCATTCATTTGTGAATAAATCCTGAAAGTTTCATTAAAATCTGACAATTATTTAATTTTTGCAAGAATTTGAAAATCAATGTGTTTTTCGCCATGAAAAAGAGACTAAGATTTCCTATACCAATCTTTGCTCTACCGCCTCTTTTCACATAAAAAAAAAAAATGAGAATTCTAACCAAAATTTCAATCATTCTAAAAAGGATAAAATAAAATTAATAAAATAATCAAAAAATTCTTGGGTCTTTCCTCTTAATGACAACGTAAAAATTTTGACAATAAAATTTTGTTTTATTAAGTTTCGGACAGTTTTTCATCATGGTATACTCATTTTTTTTAGCAAATCTGTAGAGGAATCTACATTCATCCAGTTTCAAGCAGTGAAGAGTTATCTCCCTTGTAAGCAAAATGTTAGTCATATATATATATATATATATATATATATATATATATATATATATTTGTTGCTTTTTATGTACAAGCTGAAATTGCCTGAGCAATAAAGTATACTAATAACAATAAAAAGATATTTGGTCTGGTTTTTGGTAGTGAGTTTGGCTTAGAATTTTCACCATTGCCTCATGTATATGTATATATAAATTAAAACTAAAATTGTTAAATGAACTGAAAGCATTTCATGCAGTGAAATTTTTGTTCAAGTATATTACCATATATCATGAAACTGTTATCACACCAAAATAGAAAAATAAAGTTCTTTTTTTTTTTAATATGGTAATGTGTTTTGTTCAGGTTAGTTTGCCAAGTGGTTAGAATGTTCGCTTTTGACCATGAGACCTGGATTTGAATCTCACCATGGCCTGATTTGTCAGGAAGGTGACTTCTTGGTGTTATCGGTCTGGTGGGAGGTGAACCCAGCATGCGGCACCTTTCAAAAGTGCCTGAAAACTATATCATGGGTTGACCCAAGACTTGTGAGTGAAATTGGGTAGATGGAAACCTTAGGGGCCATCAGTGGCTGTGCTTAGCACAAAGCCACAAATCTTCATGACCAAGGGTATAAGCGTACCAGCCTTGTTCAGATTGTTGACCATCCTTCTCTAGATTGTTGACCATCCTTCTCTTCCAAAAACTAACTATGGTCTGCTCAGCAGTATAAACCACAAGTGGGCTCTGTGGATGTTGAACAAACATGATTGCATCGGAACAGGCATCTGCAATAGGGATTGGCTAGTCACCCTAGTAGATGGGTATACTCAAATACGAGAGACCAGACATTAATGTTAAAATAAATATACATACATATATATATATATATATATATATATATATATATATATATATAGGGGTCAAGTGGTTAGAACGTTTGATTTCTGACCATGAGACCTGTGTTTCAATCTTACCATTGTCAATTTATCAGGAAGAAGACTTCTTGATGTTACTGGTCTGGGAGAGGTGATCCCGGCATGTGGCACCTCTGAAATGTGCCTGAAACCCATAGTCTTGAGAGTGAAATTGGGAAGATGGGAGTCTTTGGGAGCTGTCGATGCTTGTGTTAGGACAAAGTCACAAGTCATCGTGACTGAGGGCTTGAGCGTGCTAGCCATGTTCAGACTGTTGATCACACTAGCTAATGCACTCTTTCCCAGAAACTAACTAAAGTCTGCTCAACATAGTTGCAGTATAAAGCACAGATGGGCTTTGTGGGTGTTGAGCAAACTGAAATGTGCCTGAGCAGGCATCTGCAATAGGGATTGGCTAGCCACCCTAGTAGACTAGCATCTTTGGATACAAATGGCCAGCCATTTTATATATATATATATATATATAATCTCAGCACTATATGTGTATATATAATTATATATTATATATATATATATATAATTATATATATATATATATAATCTATATATGTGTGATATATTATAATTATATATATAATATATATATAATCTCAGCACTATATGTGTGATATATTATAATATATATATATATATATATATATATATATATATATATATATAATAGCATTATTAATTTAATTAATTATTGTTCATATTATTATTATTAAAAGGTATTAATATCTATTAAACATTAAATTACATCACTTAGCATTCTCCATAGTTTACCTTGACTTTAAGTTTGCCTGAAATATATTTGAGTGTTCTTAAATTTAAAAATTTTGAAAAACATTTTTAATTTTGTTTATAAATATATGTTGCAAAATAAAATCCTTAAATTTGATTGTCCCTCAGAAGATGAAATGTGTCAGCTAATTTTTCCTTTTGTCTTTATTCATATGGTCTTTTTCAGACATATATTTTTAGTTATATCTGAAATATATATATATATACTATTTCTATTTTAGGTATTTCAGGTATAGATCCTGTTGACCAACAGAATCTTAAAAAACGGAACCAAAAATTCTTGTACTTGGGCAAAAGAATGAAGGAGCTGAAGACCTTGCTTAAAAGGGTATTTTTCTATTTTTATAAATTTTTGACACTTAACATTTTATTTAATTGTTTTTCTTTCTTTAACTTCAGTTTCATATTTCTCCTCTTTGAACTTATACTGTTGATTTAATAGAGATCACGTTAGTAGTACATCCCAATTTAACATGACCGGAGTATGAAATATGTGTTGAATATAACTACCGCTGCTGCTATGGCTACAGTACGTGTGGTGCACCTACTACCCTAACAGGTTACGAACTCGTGACGAGACTTTTTTTTTTTCTAAATGATACATATTTACTATCATCACTGCAGTGTTAACAAGGGAAGTAACTTGATTAGAAAAAAATTAGAGTTGCTTCCCTTGATAAAACCGTTTTTTTTTTTTTTTTTGTTTTTAGTTTTTTTTTAAAAGGGAATTTTATCTTTTTTAGATTTCTCTATTATTATTATTATTATTATTATTATTATGCCGCTGCTTTGACCATTACTTTCTTCGGTCTTTAAAATTTATTTAGTGTTTTTTTTTTCAACGTGAACATATAATTCTAATGGACTGAGATATCTTATTAAGTCGTATCTGGTTAATGTCATGTCCTTTCACTATGTAGACAATCATGGCTTTCCATAATTTTTTTTTTTTCTAAATTAACATGACTTTTGGGGAAAGATAGTGGAGGGGTTCCCCATTGCCTTTCCAATGTCTTGAATTCATCCAAGGTGTGAGAGCTCAGTCTACCCTGTTATTTAATCCATAGCTGAGAGAATAGATGTTTTCATGCCTTTCTTAAAGATATAAGAGAATGGAACGGATTAACTCTGAATTTAAAATCAGATCACACATTTCTTTTTTTTCTGCACTGTTAAAGTTATTGTTTTTTCTGTTAGTTCCTCCATGACACGTTTTTAAGATTGTTAAATATATTAATTTTTTTTTTTTTTTTTTTTTTAATCTGTTTTATTATGTTAGTTTTTTTAAATGATTTTCATGATTGAAAATAATTTCTCAGAATTACAGAAAACCATTTGGAGTAATTCCAAGTTTTTTTAATTATTGATTTCATTATTACCTCAGTTTCAGCCTGTGCATTCTACATCCATTTTTAGGTATACAGTTTATATGCAAAAATTTCAAAACTCTCCTTTCTCCAACTGAAGTCAAAGCAAAACAATAAAATGGTGGCTAGTAGAAAAAAATGATTGCATATTTAGGGATTGGACAAACTCATTTTGTGACTGTAAGGTTTGACCTTATAATAGGGAAGAACTATGGAAGAAAGGTATATTCTCCCATTTGTATTTCCCCCCGTTATGGGCATTTTTATGTCTGTAATATAATAACATCGTACTTCACAGACCGAACAGAATGACTAAAAAGGAAAAAGAATGACAAACATGCTTTGTTCTCAGAGAAAGTTTTATAATGCTACTATGTACACAAAATTCTATCTATCTATCTATCTATCTATATATATATATATATATATATATATATATATATATATATATATATATATATATATATATATATATAAAAAGGGAATCTTTGTAATATTTCCCAAAGGGAAAACTAGATTTACAGCAGTTTCTCTATGAAACTTGTGAGGCCATGTGGTTTATCCTGTTGGCCCTATCGCTATGGGCTAAGGATTTTTTTTTCTGCAAACTCCACATCACAACTGCCTTTCATCACTCTATCTCTTGACGTCATTCACCAGCCATCATGTGACCCTCACGACTATCTAAACAAAAGAGACAATCACCATTTGCATCACTACAACCCAATGAATTGGTTTGATCATTATATTTGCCTCTCCTGGTTTTACTGAACACCTTAAAAAAAAAAAGAAAAAACACTTCTTTCACACATTTTTGCATTGCTTTGTATGCATAGTGATTTTTTATATTGACCTGGCTAAATTCCAATTGTCATAGATTTTAATTTTTTTTCGATAATGTGTACACTTTTTTTTTTTTTTAAATTAAAAAGACAGAAACATTTATAACATGTTTTTTTTGTTCAAAAAACATCAACTGATGAGATATTTTTGAAAGCAATGTGTTCTTTCATTTTTTTTTTTTTTTTACCTACACACATTTGCTAAAGAAATGAGTGACAAAACTAATTTCATTTTGATTTACAATCAAAGTTATCAATTTCTGAATTCCTAAACAAAATTCAATGAGTTGTTAATTTTTCAATTTAGCATTAAAAATCCTTACTAGATAATTCAGAATTCATCTTTTTTTTACAACAAATGAATAAAGTGGTACTTTTTTTATTTACTCTTATTCATTTAAATCTGATCCAATAAAAATACAACATTCTTTGTAGCAAGAACAGTAAATTGCTTAGCTGTTTAGTTTTTTGTTTTTTCGTTTTTTTAAAAAAACTCTCATTCAAAAGAAGCTGTTATTGATCAAAATTGAAATTAGTTCCAATTTGAAATTAATCCTGCACCCCAAAGAAATGCTAGTAGAGATCAGAAATTTTTTTTTTGTTTAAACAGTTGTATGTTTACATTTGTAATTTATTTTTTTATTTTATTTTTTTTCAGAAAAAATATAAACCTGATGCCATTTTGAATTTATTAAAAAGTGTCTATGATTATGAAAATGGAGATTGTTCTATGGAAAGTGTTTTAGACAACTTCAATCAAATAACAGAACTGAGAAAAGTATATGAAAGATATTCAGACCTATTTAATGTAGACGTTCAGGTAAGTAGTGTTATTCTTTTTGAGCTTTAACTGTATTCAAAGTATATAAAACCACCCACATTATCAATATTTAATGTTATAATATCATGGCGTTAACTATAATCACTTTTAGTCATTAGCAGAATTTCCCAACCACTGAGCCACATGCCAGTCCGTGGATCATTTGCTACCATGCCACAAATAAATGACTTGTTTAAAACTTATATAATAGATAAATTATTGGACTTTAATTTCCACCATCATATCTTTGTAAAGCGAAGTTATCTGCAGTGACAATAACCAAAACAAAATTATAATATAAACTAGACATAAAGAACACACTTTGAGTGTCATTGGGACTGTCTAGTTGTAAAAAAAATTACCAGCAATAAATTTTTGAAGAAAAAATTATTACCAGCAATCTATTATTACCAGCAATACATTTTTTTCTTTTTTCTAGATATTAACTGCATTACATTTTTTTTTAAATATTAACAATAATACATTTTTTATTTCTTCAGAAAACCAATACTTCCTTCACAGGTGGCTGCTTGCATATCGTCAACATTCCTGGTGAGCCTTCAAGAGCTGAAAATGACAGTGTGCACATGGCTGCTGTTTTAGGGCCAAAATTAAATAAAATTAGTATCCTTTATTCATGTAAATGTCTATTTTTGTATTATGTTTTTTTGTTTAATCATTTAACCCCAAGCAAGGCAATAAAGCCACTAGGACACAGTGGTTACAGGAAAAGAAAGGGAAGACTTTAGTGAGGAGTGAACAAAGGAACAGTGTTCAGGAAGGCAGAAAATGGTGATTGACATTGCATTTAAATTTTTGAAGATCATATGTAGCAAACCACTGACAAAAGAAAAATTGTTGCATATAGGATAAAACAAGTGATAATCTGTAAAGTAATAGGTGGAGAGAATACTACACATATAGCAGAATTTCCTGACCTAGCATTGATTGTTTACTGTATTGTCCTTTTGTAATATGAGGACTGGTGATTATGCAGCAAAACTTACATACTTGTCCAGAAAAAGATTTTTTTTAAGATAGCATCATTGAAATGTGCCAGTTGCTCACCATAATATTGAGCAAGCAGTAAGTTTAAGTGATTATGTTCATGTAGCATAACAGATATTGGCACAGAAAGTGAAATCATTGAGCCAAGTTCAAATTCTGGGTTAGTTTTTTGTGTTCACTTTTGTACAAATATCCTTGGGCAAAATCATGAATCTTCCTTCTCTTTCTAGCCATGAGTTGAATAGCAGGACAGACCTTGGGTGGCAACCAATCTAGAAGAAGGACAACTCTGCATTCAAAACCAACCTGAAGAGGTTCAGGCAATCTTGCTGTAGGCACACCCACTTCAACTGCAGTACATCTGATGCCTGTACGACCTGAATGGATTGAGATTTGGGAACATGTGGTTTCAGGGATCAACTGTTTATAATAAATAATTCTTTAAATCTCACTAAATACAGAATAATTTTCCTCCCAGCATATTCTGCTTAGAGTAAAATAGTAAAGGCTGTCCTGAATTGGGTCTTGATTTTCTTTTCATTCTTCAATGCCAGTGACTTCCTTGTGCCAAAATGACTTTTCTGTATTTGGCAAGAAGAGGAAGATGTTTAAATACTAACTGGATGGTGTTCATTTCTTTGTTCTCTTGTTTCTAATCCATATAGAAATGACTGTAAATCTTCCCTTTCCTTAAATTTATTGACAGATTGCAGTAGATGCATGCTGGGATTACTTCCTAGCCAGTAAGATAGACCACTTCTCAGTCTTATCCACCATATTTCTTTTCTTTCTTGTCTTGAAGTCAGAACACTTTCATCACACCATTCTTAATTTGTGAAAATTACCAGCAATAAATTTTTGAAGAAAAAATTATTACCAGCAATCCATGATGACCAAACATAAGAATTTATTTTGCTGAACCTCTTCTTGATAAGTCCAAGATCTTTTTAACCAACACTTGTAACAGACATTTTTTTCTTCTCTTCAATTCCCATTAAAATTTTTCTATGAAAAAAATAAATAATTAAAAAAAGACAAGGTCCATTTTGTTTGGGACCACCACATATTCAGGTTTATAATTTGTGTTGAGACTAGAATTTTTCAGCAACACTTCATATGTTACAAAGATGCCACAAATTATGTGACAAATTAGTAGAATCAGTCTTTTTAATAAATTTCCAGTGTTTTTTTTTTTTGCTTCAAATGAAATAAATGTTCCTTAATGGTTTTTAGAGATTTTCAGAGCTGATCTTGAGAAATCTGGCTTAATAAGTGTGGATGAATCAGAAATGATAGAAATTGAAAGTTCACAGCCTCTTTTTGAATTGTCCAATCAGTGTCTTTATGATCAATGTGAGTTCTTTTTATTTATATTTTAAACAAATCAAAAATTAGTATTTCTGTCTCGTAAGTAAGTCCATAAAGAAAGTAGCATTTATATTACACAACATATATATATTTCTTTCTCAGGTGTTATAAAAAGAGTGCTGAATGTTATATAACAATGTATATTAAGGGTATGTTAGTAAATATATATAATATCCAACATACATATATATGTATATATATATATATATATATATATATATATATATATATATATATATAATTAATACAAGTAAAAAGGTTTGTCATTTGGCTGATTGATGTTACCTTATGCATCTCAGCTCCAGAGTTTGATAAATGGAGCCTCTAAAAACATGCCATCCACTCATCAGTGGGGTAAATTTATTTCCATTTACTGGCCTGAATATTCTAGAAAACATATCTGAAAAATATGCATCCTCTGGCATTTTTCTAATAAGATTTATCAAATATTAAGACTGGTAGATGGAAATAAATAAACAATGTTTAGGAAATAAACAGCCTATATATATATATATATATATATATATATACACTATTGGTCATTCAATATAAGGCCCAAGAGCCACTCAAAGTAGAGGGTTGTTGTAAGGGTGTACAAGGAAGGAGCTATAGGTGAATATTATGTGGATATATAGGATATATAATGATTGACTCTGAACTTGATGAAGTTAAGATTGTAGTGATCAGAGAAGCATCCTTTGAGTTTATTCCACAAAGTAACAGTTTTGGGAAAGAAACAATGGGACTTAACTGTGGAAAACAAAGTGAATAAATATAAGTCAACTCTGTGTACATGACATAGCGGATCCTAACTATGAAGGTCTTGACTGGTGAAACTAAAGAATATAATTGTCTGAACATCTGCCCTAAAAATATTGATAGAATTGAAGCTAGCAGCATTTCATATTTCATATGTGTGGAAAGGGGTTGTAGGATGGAAAATAATTTATCACTCACAAGGCCACATTGATGTTTTTAAACTCTGGAAAGTGAGGATTGGGCAGCTCCAGCCAAAATATGGCAGCAGTATCCCACTTTTGTTTCTGATCTGACTCTTGTAAAGATAGAGCATGGTAAGAGGAGTCTGATACTTTTTGGAGGGCTAAAAGGAACCAACCATTTTTCCACCATCTTTCATGATGAATTGTAATAATGAATTCTACTTAAAGTCTGTGGTGGACTTGAGTCCAAGTAGGCACTCAAAACGAGCAATCTCTTTGAAAATGCAACTATTGATTGTGACAGGTGAACATTTATTAGCTTAGGTTTTGAGGTATTACTGAAAATTGGGAAGATCCAACCCATTCATGGCGGCCATACCCCATATTTAATGTCAACATAATCTCCTTCCTGTACTTAATTTATTCATGAATTAATAACATAAAATAAATATTAATCAATGAAATAATTCAGTTACTGTCAGGCGATAGACTTACTGAGCCAGGCTTGAATATTTTGGCTTTGTATGTTTGTTTAGTTATAGTAAGCTTTAGATGGGAGAGATGTATCTAAATATTTAAGAATGCTTTTGTTGAAGTATTTGATTAGTACTGCTACTGGCATTGACCTCCTAATACCTTATTATAGTCAAGAGCATAAAAAAATATAGTACACTGTGTCCCACATGAGATCACCTGTAATATTTGCAATTATAACATTGTGACTAAGTATCAAGAACAAGTGACAAGCAATTAGACATAAGTATCCATCAATCTCACAAGATGATAGTGCCATGGTTAGTTAAGACCAGTCCTGTAGATATTGCATACTCCACACTACTTGTGGTGTGCATTAAAGGCCTGAGCTTTTTGTCTCTTCTGATGTCTTTTGTCCTCCAACTGTTGGTTGCACTTTACCTCACTCCTATGACTCATTAGACAGCATGTTGCCATCTGCTGCAGTCACCTGTGAGCAGTTGTCTAGGCTGATGCATGCAGGTTTCAGGAATCCTTGAAATTCACTGTTGGATGGTGTCTTGTTGCTAGCTTCTTATACATGACATCTTTTGGTATGAGACCATCCTATATTCAGAGGCTTATGGCCACATCACATTAAAACACCAGTCCATGTATGATCAACAGAGTTAAGCAACATTAAGCCTGGTCAGTACCTTGATGGTTAACTGCTTGGGAATAGCAGGTACTGTAAACTTGGATGTGCAGCTGGCTTAATGGATAATGACTCAAAATTGCTAATTGGAGAGCTAAGTTTCAATTTCAGTTGGGTTTATTTTATTATACATAAATATCCTTGGGAAAGGTATGAATCCACCTCTCCCCCAGCTATGGGTTAATTAGTAAAACTTGTATAACTAAAACATTATTTTCCAAAAACATTTCTTACACTCTAAAAATATTTTTTCTGACTTTAAATAACCTGCAAAGAGTTAATAAGCTGTAGAAAATAAATGAATCAATCAAAAAATAATAATTTTTTGTTTGAAGTACTGTGGAAAATCATCTTGATTATATGATTATTTTCTCTTGATGTTACATGTGCTATCCATTTTAGTTGTTGCAGCTGTTGAAAGTATTCAAGTGATATGGTTTCTGTTATTTGGTACAGTTCATTGTGATTCTGTGGTGTGAGATTTGATGAATGATGATGATGTTCCACACTACTTCAAGCAAAAGATTAGGAAGGAAACTCCCATCACTAATAAAAAAAGCAATAACTGTGGACTTGAAAGATTTTATAAATATCTACTGAAAGTAGCACTGGCTGCTTGCCTAATGAATGTTTCTTCATTAGGAAATGGCTAATATTACTATTACCATTTGCTTAAGACCTAAATTTATTTCTTTTTCTTTACATACAAAAAGAGGGAAAGGAGATAGAATCAATCTTGATAATGGATTGATTTAATTTATTTTATACTTAAATATATCAAATTATTGATAACAATTTGTTAACTTTTAATTATTAGATATTTAAGAACATTTTTCTGTTTATGTGTTGACAGAGTATATGCATTATAGACTGCTTGAAGATCTTGTTATATATTTGTTTTAGATTGTTCACAAAAAATATTACTGCTTTATGGCCAATATTGACCATTTTATCTGCCTGACATAATTAAGTGTTTTGTTTTCAGCTCTGTTAGCTGGTAGAAGCAAGGATTCTTGTTTTCTGTACAATATTTCCACAGAAAATTCCATCAAATGCTTAGATAAAATCAGTTTGAAAAATGAAGATTTGACATCAGTTTTTATGAGGTGAGTGATGTTGCTTTTTTTTTCTTTTTTTTTCCTTCTATCAGCCTAGAAATAATTAAAATTAAAAGTGAAAAAAATTGTCTTAAAAAAAGTTTAATGATTATTAAATTGTTAGCTGATGGTATAAAACCACTTTTCATTGCTTTCTTCTGTCACCAAACATTTCCAACTATGATCTTAATGGAAGTTCTATAGAAGAAAGTGAATATTCTTCCATTTGCATTTCCCCCATTATGAGCATTATTATACTCATGGATGAAACTGAATAGTTGAAAGAAAAGGAATGACAAACATGATTTGTTCTCAGAGAGAGTTTTATGCTGCTAAGTCATACACAACACTATATCTATATATATATATATATATATTCACACATGTCCCACAAAGAAAATATAATGGACATAAGTAAAAACAAATGAAATAATTCCCTACAGGATTTGGAGATACCAGAGAATCTTCTATATTTATGAGAAGCCATATTTAAGATTCCAGATTTGAGTGGACCAGATTTATGTCATGTTGCTAGCAACAACATATTTCTCTCAAACGAGAAACAGCGAGCCATGGGTTTTTCCCAAATTGAAGACTGAACTATAGATATTTTCTATATCTGGTGAAGATATATTTCCATAGGAAAATGTCACCAGGGGCTTGTAAGCTGCTGGAGAGGTATATTTAGCCTCAGCTCAGGCTCAAAAGAAGCAACTGCTCAGTTTGTCTCCTGGAAACTGATTGAAGGGCTAACCACCGTTGTTATTCTTTGAAGTGATGTCACTAAGCAGCAGGGTTGTGACCTCATGACTTCATCTTGACCAAAGGCAGATAATCGCATTTTGTATCGCTTCAATCTCATACTATATCAATGGAAGGAGACAGGTGAGGGATTATATGAGCAATCCACTCATTAGTAACTGGTCAGGATTCTTTTGTTACGCATCACTTGAGAGGGGTGAACAACTTGATTACTTAGACCGTGTTTATTCAATAAAATCAACAATTTACATCTCAAAAGCTATTTAGCTTTTCAGATGTAAATTGTTGAATTTATTTTTACTTTTTTTATTATTTCACTCCAAGCAAGGCAATAAACCCACTAGGATGTATGAGGTTACTGAGTGAAAGAATATGAGAGAAAGTAAAACCTTACTCAAGAGAGAGAGAGGACAATAATTAAAAATACAGAAAATAATGATTGACACTGTATTTAAATTTTTGAAGATCAAAGTTGACTGGAAAGCAAGAAGCCAGATGTAAATTCCACAAGTAAGAAGTGCAAGAGAAGAAACAGCATAGAACTTTGCAGTAACGTCTCACCAAAGAGGAAAGCTCATCTGAAAAATTACCAAGAAAATATTTATAGAAAAATCAGAAGGAATAAATAATCCAAATTATGCTTGAAAAAGATTGTGCTAAAAGAAATTTACCTTGTCTTTAAATTGTTAAGTGATGACAGAGAAGAAAAAAAATGATTCCTATTTGAATTTCTGGAATGAGGAGCTATGATTATTTCCCTTTGGACTATTGTCCTCATCTTTGTTATTGTTATTAGCTTCCATTGGTGTATCACATCAGGTGTGTACAGATTCAATATCTTCTAGGATTACTTAACATTTGGACTAATGTTCACATCTTTGTTATTATCACAATATTTCAGCTCTGCTGTTTTCCAGCCTTCATCAAGTCCCTGTTAATCTGGGTAACCTTCAGGGAATTTTTTCATTTCATGTACAGGGGCAGATTGTCCTCATTGTGCTGTCTGCATCTAAATAGAACAATCTACCCCTGTACATTAAATCAAGCCTGCATAAAATACAGCCTGCAAGCCATGTGTAGACCACAAGGAGTTTTCACAATAGTAGATTTTTTTGTTCATTAAAATATCATTGCATACAAAAGAATCATACTCTCTGAATATCTGTTTCTCTCTCACTCATATTTAGTAATACTCTAAAAATTTACTCTTGTGGCTCACAGATAATTTTCTGTGATCAATGTGGCACTTTCACTTTTCTAATTGTGCAGGCGTGGAATAAGTTAAGGGTCTGGTTTGGAAATCCCTGAAGCTTACCTAGACCAACAAGCACCTGAAGAAGTTCAGAGGATGCAACGTCCGAAATATTGTGATAACAACACAGATGAGGACATTAGTCTGAATGTAAATAGAGAAAAAGATGTTAGCTTAAATTCTTAATTAATCACAAGGCTGACAATGGGTGTGTCATATGCCCTACTCTACAAATAATTTATAACGCAATCATACGCTGATCAGGAGATGTATACGTTATCACGTTTATGGAGAGATACGGGCTATCTCTCCCAGATCATAACAAATGGACAATTAGTAAACAAAATATTTTAAAGAACACTGTTCGATTGAGATAATCAAACAGTAGTCTTTTCCCAGGTTCACTTCGGTTTCAACACATATACCGATCCACAATTCAAGGATGAACGATGAGGCATAATAAATTTTGGTATAAGAATTTTAATATATACATATACACAAGATATTACAATAAAAGAAAAATATAAGCATGAGTAAAGCATCCAACGACCAGAACCTCAAGACTTATGTTGGGATACCAAAATATGCCCAAATCCAAGTGGATTCGACTGAACCAAATGGATAAAAAAAAAAATAAGTATGAATAACTACGAATGCAAAAATCAACGCATAACCAAAAAAAAAGAGATGGGATAGGATTTATATATTACCTATTTTGACATGTGGAAAGGTGTTTGTGAGAACATAAAATTTATGGATGCATGTGTATCTTTCTAACACGGCTCTAAAATATATACTTACTTATCTTTATATTCAGTTCTCTCTCTTACTCATTGTCCTTTCTTTTCTCTCTCACGTTTCCTATTTTCTTTCTTTCTTTACACAAATTCAATTTCAAACACGGTCCCGCTCCAAAAGAGATATATACTTTCTTCTTCTCTCTTGTTTTCTCTTTTCTTTCTTTCTTCTTTACACAGTTCAGCTTCAAACACGGTCCAGCTGCAACAGAGATATATACTTTCTTCTTCTCTCTTGAGTTCTCTTTTCTTTCTTCAAACACAGGCTGTATTCTCAGCGTGGTTTTTTCCTTGCGCCTTCTGTCATAAATAACTTTTATATTTATCTTCTTCAATCTGAGTTGACAAACAGAAATATACATCCTTATATTTCTTATCCGGAGTTGCTTTGGGGATGAATCTGACAAGTTCCATCATTACCAAAATGAGTCTCATTTTTCCGCTCATAAGTTATCAGCGCTTCGATTTCGAGTCTTGCTCCTTCAAAGACAAGACAGCAACTGACTTCAAGTAATTTTCTAATTCCCACGTGTCCTGCATTTTGCGCGAATTCCAGTTCCTGCTGCTTCAGTCCCCCTGTCTCAGTCCCCTGTTGCTATGGGTAACTGGGTCAGTCAACCTCTTGACCTGCTTCCCCAAAATGATTCAAGACTCCCATGTGACCTCTTCTGTTGTCAAGCGGAGATTAATCTTAATATATGCATGTATAGGCTATCTGCATTCGTAACAGGGTGTAACAGGCCTTTTTGGTTGACAAGGTATTTTTAGGGAAATTGATTTGCTTTGCTTGAATGCTCATTCTTTTCTGTCTGTTATTTTGGCTTTGCTTTTTAAATTTAGTTTAAAGGCATTATGTCATGATATTGTGGACATAGCAAATGGCAAAGTAGATTCATGCCTTCCTCAAGTGCATCAGTGTGACTTAAAGTATAAATGGTCTTAGCTAGAATTCAAAATTTATTCACTAGCTACCCTCTACTTCCACTTATATCTATATATGCAAAACCCCCAAAAAATGAACAAAATAACTTTAACACTTTTTAAAATCTTTGTCTATAATTTATTTAACTTTTTTTTTCTTCCCAGTCCTTACATCCCAGCTGAATGTCTGATAGCCACAGACTCTGGTTCTGTCTACCTCTGGAATGCTGACAAAGGGTAAGAAGATCCTTTTTATTATTTTATCTGTCAGGCTCACCTGGTGTTGCCCAATGGAAGTTACCATTCTCTTTTGCTGGATAAATGCTTCATTTATCAGTAAGATTCAGTAAAATTGAATTGGTAATAAACTTCAATGTTTTCATTTCAGTAAGAAAATTACTGAGCCTGATTTGAGTCTTTAAATCACTTTTGTACAATGGGTTCAAACATAGAATTGAAAAGATTAAATAAATATAAATTGAAAAATGTCATTTCCAAATTTTTTTTTTTTTTTTTTTTACTTTAGAACCAAGATGTTTTGATTCACTGTTTTGTATTGATGGTAATTTTCTAAGCATAGCATCGATGTGGTACAATGCGGAAGATGGGTCACCCAGTGAGGATCAAACTCACTATTCAGTCATAATCAATCTAGTGACACAAGCTTGCTAGCCATTGTGCCATGTCTAAATGCACTACATGTGTGTAGATATGTAGATATAATATATAAATATAAAGGATTGTACATTGAGTGCTGGTGGTAGTAAAATGTCCATTTTCAAACAGCACTTGACAATTGCATCGTGCATGAAACTTAATTATGACACCAGTGAGGAGCACAATGCATATTTATTATTTGTGTGCATATATATATATAGTTATATTGATGTGAGTTTGTGACCCTGGATTTCATGCTATTTGTGATCATCAGTTAGCACTATCACTGATAAGTACTGCGCATATATAATATATAAATAATATATATAAAAATTGCATATACATATATTTATATACATACACATTTTACATAATATATATATATATATATGTTAATTGCAGAAATTCTGATGATTGCCCACTGCAAAACAAATGTCTGACCAACTTTCTTGTTTACCTAAGTACTATTTCTACAATAGAAAATCTGACTGTTGAAAAATTTTATATAGGGAATACTAAGATTTCTTTTAAAACTAGGTGGTACCAACATATCCTATTTTTCACCAATAGCATTTATAAAAATAGAACATCTCTTTCCAAATATTTTTGGGAATTTAAAAGCAGTTAATAAAACTCCTATGGTTAAATGGAAAGTTTTAAAAAAGCTAGAACTTGTAAATCCTTAAACGAAACTTGCTTCTTATGCTTACACGGGAAATTAGAAATTATTATATTTGCTGATAAAAATTCTCTATTAAAGCAAAGAAGTGAATTAATTGTAAATTGTAGGCATAGCTTACATTTCATCTTACAATATGGTTAAACTTTAAATTTGGCAGTATGGTCATAATAAGTAAGCAAAAAATGTGGTGCACCCTCTATAAATGATTATTTTATTTTGTTTATTTGAATTTAATATAGATATGTATTGGTATTTAGTTTGGCATTATCAACATCTTGTATGAATATTACACATTTTTTATTTTTAAACACTTAAGTTGCACTGGTTTCTTGAAAGAAACTTTTTATTATCAACTATAAAAAAAAAAAAAATCTTACGATTAGCTATACATTTGATTGTCTTCCTACCTCTCCCCGCTACTTATAAAATTGAGCAAGTTACATTTGTTTCATAATTTTGATTTAGGGTTCCCGCCCACTGATAGTTTGTATTAACTTTTTGTCTGCTACTCATGACCTTGTCTAGGATTATATTTCAAACCACATTTTACCATGATCAAAATTCCCCCTTTAGCATAGGTCTGACACCTAATTGGTTAATCAGGGTACCCACAAGCCTCATTTTAATTTTGTTTTGTTGTTATCTGTTTTTGAAATTTAAAAATAATTTTTTTTACTCACCAGTTATTTACTATTGCCTGAGGCAGCACAATTTGAATGATGAAGCGTGAAAGCTATTGTGTAGCAATTTTTAACATGCTTTTGTTTTAATCTCATATGGTAAATAATATTAAGCTGTACTCAGAATTGAGCCTTTTCTTAAAAATGAAATGCTACAGACTAAAATTATACTCTATTTGTTCTTATCCCATAGACATATATATATATATTTCATCAGTCTCTGAGATAAATCTCACTTTTGTAAAATTGCATAGTTTATCATTAATTATAAGTAGAATCAAAAATGCTTCCATGGCTAATAGTCATTTCTCCTGCTTCCTCTTTTTACAAATACATCCAGGTAAAGTCTTTTGTTTCTTTTCAGGTATGATCTTGTTTATGGACTACCTAAAGGGGTTAAGTGTTTATCAAGGTGGAGAGATGTCCATTATGGAAGCCATCCTCGATCCTTTGTCCTTACTGATCATTCAAGTATGGATTTATTTGATCTTAGGGTGAGTGGAAAAAAAAATATATGTATGACCCATTCAGTGGAAGAGGGATATATTCACAATTTAATAATTTTGTGGCAATATGCACTTAGTTTTTATCAAAATTTTTTTTTTTTTTCATGGTTAGCCGTAAGGAAATGTAAGTTTCCTAAATTGAACAAACTGGAGCTATTTTGTTTACGCTTTGTTATCTCTCTTTTCCATTGTTGTTTTTAGATCGCTTTCTCCCAGATATTTTGATGGGCACTAGCAAAATACTGAAATTTAGAATGACCTTATTCCAGTTCAAAATAAAGCCTGTAAAAAGGAATATTTTAAATTAATATACAACCAAAAATAAAATGATTTTGACAAAAAAACCTTAATGATTTCACTATAATTATGTAACAATAATGTAATGATATTCCACAGACAAATCTACAGTTTATGTTACCTCATCTCATTCCATGGTTATGAACTATAAACCTAAATTGAACTTGAAATATTGTGTAATCAGTTCTAATTTTTTCTACAATACTTGGATGTGACATAATGAATAATTTGCAGTGAAAAAAAAAGCAATTTTCAATTTTTTGTTGAATATGCTCCTCCACAAATGCATCATATATATATATATAATATTGCATATATTTTGGCAACATGTTTTCATTAAGACATGTCTCATTAAACAATTTAGACAAGTTTTGTCTACTTATTTTTAATAGAATCTTCTCATAATTATAGACACATTTCTTAGTATCCTTATATATATATATATATATAAAAATTGTGGAAGTCAATTTGGATCACTATTCTTCATTTATGTCCTCCGTTTATGACTCTCCACAATTTCCTAAGCACTAAACAATGTATTTCCTGTGAGTGTCAGATTATCCAAACCTTCTCTGCTCATTATGTGTCTCAGAAATTTCAACAAAATTGCTTTTGATATCTCAAAAGCATTTGATATATTTATATGCTGGCCTTTTCCACAAGTTGAAAGTTTGTTATTTCTGGCGTAATTTTTCATCTGATTCAGTCTTTCTCATCGTGAAATGAAGGTTGTCTTAAATGGCCATTTATAGATCTTTTTGCATTAATGCAGGTGTTCCCCCCCACCACGGGGCTTTATTCTTGGACTTTTCATCAATGACCTTCTTGAAGTCATCAGTCCTCAACTTGGTATCTATACTAATAACACAACTATTTACTCTTGTCTTAATGGTAAGTCTGATTAATTTGATATGGTCAAATTGGAAATTGATCTCCAAAATGATGTACAATCTGTTAACTGGAGCAAGAAATGCCTTGTTAATTTTAATGGCTACAATACTGCTCTCTTTTAATTGTCTGAGAGAACCTTTTTTGATTTACGTCAGCATGACTGAGGCTAACCTCCAAGAGAGTGACTCTTTGAGCTAACGTTTTCCATTGACATGAAGTGGAAACATTATATTGAATCAGTTGCTAAATCTGCTTCTAAGAAAGGTGATTCGCTCAGTGATGTGAGACAATTTTTCTCAACACCTATTTATTTTGTTTTTTTCATGCCAAACAAGGCAGGAATGTCACTAATGGTGAGGGGGTTACAGGGAGCAAAAGTGAAAGAGAAAACTGTGAATAGGGAGGATCAAGGAAAGGATAAAAGATGAACAGGATTCAAGAAGACAGAAGATGGCAATTGATGTTGCATTTAAATTTTTGAAGACTAGTTCTCGGGGAAGCAAGTAAATGGAAGGAATTTCCACAGGTAGAAAGTGCGAGAAAAGAAAATGTTGAAGTATATTAGCCTTTTTAATTTATTCCCTATTGATTTGGCGGCAGTTTAACATTTTTTTTCAGGAGTTATTGTAGATCCCTGCAATAAAGAGCTAACTTGACACTTGTAATATTCTCCTGACATTGTGGAAAAGATGTTACTGGGAGCTTATGTCCAACTCTAATACTTGAAGATTCAACAAGTCCCTGACAATGATGGTGATGAATTTATCAAGTGTCCCCTTCTTTTGTTTCAGACTGGGAAGAAAGCTACCAATCTTTTCAGTCTTCCATGTAGGCACTTGAAGAACAGGGAAAGACTACAAGTATCTAAATTCTCAACTCGAAATAGCTTCCAACATTTTCTTGCCACTGATTATGCGTTATTTCTATTGGATGAAAGATATCCTAGATATCCAGTAAGTAATATTAAATCTTTTCTTTTTATTATTTTTTTATTTATGTGTTCCATGGTTTGGCAAATGTTGAACTTTAATTGCAGACTGCTTATGTGTTGTATGTATGTATGTATGTATGTATATTCAAATAAAGTTAATAGTTATAACTTGTTTGTTTTTTTAACAGTGCTCACTATCAGAGATAAACACTACAAAGTTGGATGTTATAAAATTGCCTTTAAAAGTCTCTAAAATCCCAGTTTTCATAAGCTTTCAGGCATGACTGTCAGTTTTGTTATAAAGTTGATCATCAGATTCCAGAACACTGAATGAAAAATCAGAGATTCAGTATTGTTTGTTATATTAACAAAAATACCTATAGAGATATGAATCCATCTCTTCTCCCTCTGGCTATGGGTTAAATAGTAGGTCTTGTATTGGAAAATTTTTTTCAAAAAATTCTTACAGTTCAAAAAATAATTTCTGGCTTTTAAATAACCTGCAAAAGGTTGATAAGCCATAAAAAAAACAAATCAATCAATCAGATCCCAGAATAAAAATAATTCATCGAATTCAACTAGTTAGGAGCAATCACTATGAAACCTTCTCCTTTAGCATTCAACCCACCCAAACCTGTCCCCATAAATATCGGCTCTCAATTTTCAACCACCATAATCCGCTCCATGTATATACTGCTATAATCCATGACGACATCATTGCAAATAACACAAGACGTCACGCAAACAGTAAAACTTTGAGACCTGATATTTACGGGGCAGGTTTGTATGTGCTAAATCATATAGGGTTAAATTGAGAATTTATAAAAACCAGAATTTTTAGAGGTTCTTTTTTCCATCACTGACAAGTAATCAATCTCCTACTGGGGAAGTTTAAAAAACCAGCCCATGAAATGAATTTATTTATTACTATGAAAAAACTTTTCTCCCAGTTAGTAGCCATCAACTATGACCACCAGCTTAAAGACCAGAATTAGATGTGCTTAAGTGTTTTTTGAAGAATATTGGTCTATATTCACAACCACAAATTTTTTTCCCTATCCAGTAATCCTTCTTTCTGAATTGATCTGCATAAATAAACATAATATCATTTAAAAAGCTGATTATATTGTTGTGTAGTTGGCACTAAGCAGGTATTTCTAATAACTGAGAGAAACCTGAAATCCATTGTATATGAAAATAGATCAATATTTAACTGACTGGACACAGTAATCAAATTAAGGCAATAAAACCACTAAGATGCAAGTGGTTACTATTTATCCAAGAAAAATATTTGTATGAAATAATTATTTTATTAGGCAATGAGTCTATTGATTTGCACACATATACATGCACACTTGTGTATATGTCATGTAACCTTCAAAAAAAAAACAAGTGAAAAACAGGTTTATGTTGCCAAACAAAAATCAAAAAAACACTATTTAAGACTTTACCTCAACTTAATAAGAGACAATGGATTCAATGATATAGCATAGAAATTTCCAGTTATAAAAATGACCTGAAATAGATAGAATCCAATCCAAATCTCAAAATTTCATTGTTTTTTGTCTTTATCTTTAGCAACATTTTTTTTTTTAAACAAAAAAGAAAACAGTTTTTTGTGTTTTTAAACTTTCTATTTTCTTAGTTAATAATATTTGATATTCATAAAGGATTTGGAGCTGGAATATTTTTTTTAATGAATAACGAAAACTCATATTGTTCTTTTTTTTTCTTTTTACTGACTCTAAATTTATCCTTAAGTTAAAAATATTCTGCCATCTTTTGTAGTAGTAGTAGTAGTTTCTAGCAATAGACACAGTATTTTAATTTTCTTTTTAAGTCAGAATTGGATTGAAGAACATCCTTCATGTCAGGATATACGGTATAAAAATATACAAGTCATGCTGAAATCTGGCCGGATCAAAATTTTTTTGCCTCCTTTTTCAGTTGGACCAAGAAGTTTTCATCACATCATATGTGTAATTTAATTCTTGTTTAAGTTTACATGCTTTTATCTTCAACCTAAATTGTTTAGGGGCTACTCAAAATATTAATTTTGTTACTTACTACCCAAGGATCCATAAATTGAGACAGGAGTAATTCATCTGTTTTTAAATGTGACACCAAGTTTCTTTTAAGGAGCAAATGGATGTTCGTGTAGTGTAATAGATTGCAGCTCAGAATGGGAAATCTGATAACCCTATTTGAATTCTAGTTGCATTTGTTACATTCACTTACACACAAATTCTCTTGGGTAATGCTTGAATACATCGCTTCTCACAGCTATGGATTAAATAGTACAACTTGTACCTGGAAAACTATTCTCAAAGAATTTGTTAATGTAATATTAAGTTGCAAAAAAGAATTATTCTTACAATCAAAAATGTGTTTTGATTTTAAATAACCTACAAAGCTATAAAAAAAAAAATACAAATCATCAACGAAAGAGAAATTTGTTTATTTTTAATTTTTTTTTTTTTTTATTTGAAGATGACAAAAAATGGTGTGAATAAAAAAAATGTTGTAGTACAATTCCAAGCATGTTACAATGTAGAATCCAACAATGCTGTCTTTAGATAGCAAACCAAAGGTTTTCAAGTTTTCACTTCTCTCGGAGGAGCAAAATTTGGAACTGATAAAGGGCATTAGGGATATATCTTCCATGAGTTTGGAGATGGGGACCCATGTCTCTTTCGCAAAATTGTTGTTAGTGTTTTTTTTTTTTTTTTTTTGTTTCATATTTCTTGTATTTTTTATGGTTTTCTTATGCCTCTTGTTTTTTCTTTTTTGTTCCTGGAGGTGGTCATATTTTTTTTTTTTTGCCTTTGCATATTTTTCTTTTATATTTGTGTTTTTTAAAAAAATGTACTACACAGTTCATATGAACACTGACCTGAGAATGGTTAAACATTTCAGCAAAAATAGCAACAAAGATAAAGATTCTAATGTGGAATTTTTTTTTTTTTCTCAAAAGTTTACTGGGCATTAAGTAGAAGTATTCAAGTTTAAATAACTTGTATAGACTCTAGTTTGATTGTATATTTTTTTTCTTTCCCTAAGGTTTTACAATGGCAACACATGTTAGAAGGATTACCACAATATATGTGCTTGGTGACTGAAGTTGTTCAGTCTCTGCAAGAGGATGTTCTAATGGTTGGCAGTCAGTATCCTGCTGAAGTAATAAATATTCAGTACAGAACATTTGAAACAAATCCACCCATAGCTGTAACCTCACCCTGGCGTATTTCTAAACCTCTGTAAGTTATTTCATCCTCCTTTTCTTTCTTTCTTTTTTTTTCTTTTCAAGATATTTATAAAGCTTTGCTGTCAGGTAGATCACAAGGTGAAATCCAGGTAGTCAGATATTGTGGCAGACCTTCAAAAATTTATACTGAGCTTGAACACTGATCTCTGTACTGATCTTAAATATATAATTATGTTAGCCATGAGGATATTTCAGCTTTCTTATGTCCTTTTTAAATTAGGAGTTAAATGGAATTCTTCATAAAATAATTTAAAAAGTGGGGAAAATGGGAGCTTTACCTGTGTGTTCAGCTGACTAAACATTTATGAAAAAGTAATAAAGTTTATAATATTTTTTTAACAAAATCCTGAATCTTTTGAGTTAAGATTTTGTTAAAATAAAAAAATCATGTTTAATTAAAACCTATTCATTAACACTGATTCTAGCATTTAACCCCATGTTTTGTCTTATTATTTTTGTCAAAAAAGAGTAGTTTTCACATCTTCATGCGACATAAGAACTATAGTCCATAAAGATGTTTTTATAAACTCTGCAAAAGGTGTGAAACTAAAGTAGAAAGATCTGAAAAATAAGCAAGAAGCAAAAATTGCTTTTTCCTCTTTTAAGATGTGATCTTTGGTGAATAGAGCTGTGCATTTATAATTGAACTCCACAGCATTGCTAAAAAATAAACTGGGTTTCTTTTTTTTCTTTTTTTTATTCTTTTCTTTTTTTATTCTTTTCTTTTTTTATTTTCTTTTTTATTCTTTTTTTTTTATTCTTTTTTTTTTATTCTTTTCTTTTTTTTTATTCTTTTCTTTTTTTTATTCTTTTCTTTTTTTATTTGTTTCTTTTTTTTCTTTCTTTTTTTTCTTTTTCTTTTTTTTTTTTTCTTTTTTTTCTTTTTTCTTTTTTTTTTTTTCTTTTTCTTTTTCTTTTTTTTTTCTTTTTCTTTTTTTTTTTTTTTTTCTTTTTTTTTTTCTTTTCTTTTTTTTTTCTTTTTTTTTTTTTTCTTTTTTTCTTTTTTTTTATTCTTTTTTTATTCTTTTCTTTTTTTATTCTTTTCTTTTTTCTTTTCTTTTTTCTTTTCTTTTTTTATTCTTTTCTTTTTTATTCTTTTCTTTTTTATTTCTTTTCTTTTTTATTTCTTTTTCTCTTTCTTTTTCTTTTTCTCTTTCTTTTCTTTTTTCTTTTTTCTTTTTTTTTTTTTCTTTTTTTTTTCTTTTAAAGGAAATGTTAAAACACTTTAACTGCCAACACAATGTATGTGCAATGATTATAACATTGAGTGGCAACAACACAAAGTGGAACACCAAAAATTTAACAATTTACTAAGCATAGTTTAGATGTGGGACAAGGCTGTAAGTATAAGATACCAAGTGAGGGTCAAACTCTCCTCTCAACTGTAACTGATCCAGCAAGACAAGCTTGCTAACAATTGCACCACCCCAAGTGCACAAAGACATAGCTTAGATGTGGCAAGGCTGAAAGTGTGGGGCACCCAGTGAGCATCCAACTCCCCACTCGGTCATAACTGATCCGAACAAGACAAGATTGCTAACCATTGCATCACATCGAAGTGCCTGAAGACATAGTTTAGATGTAGCACAAGGCCACAAGTATGGGGCACCTAGTGAGGATCAGTGGAGTAATGGATAATGGCTTGGATTGAGAAATCGGAGAGCCAAGTTCAAATTCCATTTGAATCCATTACATTCATTTACACGCTAATACCCTTGGGAAAGGTCTGAATCCTCTTCTACCCTTGTTATGGGTAAATAGCAGGATAGACCAGGTTCTATAGGTTTGGATGGCAACTGGTCTACCACAGAAAGAAATGGCAACCTACTGCAGGAAAAAATCTGCCTTGTCAAGTCATGCATCCAAAGATACATGATCGCCTAATTGTGTATCACGCATGGCACATAACTGACTGACTGAGTGAGGGTCGAAATCACTTCTCAGTTTTGTAATGGTTCATCTCACTAAATCAAAGTGGCTACACCAAGAATTTAAACCTTGGACAAGCATCTATTTTGGGTGGCTCTTAAACCAGTTTGCACTAAGCCATTGTCTGCATCAGTTTATATTCTTATAAAATTCATTTTTTATCAACAGTCCCAAAATGAAGAGATGTGCTTTCACGGATGTCCTCTTTTGCTTTATACTTTGTGTCTTGCTTTTTCAAGTTCTTGATGATGTCAGTTGAATGGCTTGAATTTGATTCTTGAGTTTATTTTTCAAATGTAACTGCACAATTCCAAGCACCATGACCTGTTCATGGTACATTTTGTAAGCAGCAATTCTTGGCAATTTTTGAATTTAAAGCCTCTATATATTTTACATTACTTCTGCAACATTTTGTTTTCTCATCTCAGCAATCATTAGGAGAGTTGACTTAGTTACTATTTGAATCTACTGAGACAAGGTAACTTTAAAACTGTACAATGTTTTCTTGTTTTTTTTTTGTTTTTTTTTTAATGTTGATTTCCTGCAAGAGTATTTGTTCGTTTTTGGATGAAACAAATATGAAAATATTATCACGGTATGTATCTGTATTTATTAATTAAATTTTGCTTAGTTTGGTACAAGTATAGGCTACCCAATGAGGATTGAACTCCTTCTTTACAAGGCTGTCATACTAACCATTACTCTATACTGATGTTTGCTGTTATTAATGAAGTTCTACTTAGTTTAGCACAAGGCCACAAGTATGGAGCACTTGTTAAGGATTGAACTCACCTCAGAGTAGTAATGTAAATAAATGGCAGAACTGCTCAACAAAGTTGAGAAAGTTTGCAATAAACAATAACAAGAAAAGAAAACAATAAGGCAAAGATAATATAAAGCAAGCAAACAATATATGTAAGGCAAATTAATAGTAATAAGGCAAAAAGTTCACAAACTAAGAATTGGGGTTGACACACAAGAGAAAATTTGGATAAGTGAATGTAGCATTCTGACTTCAAGACAAGACAGACCAGGACTAAGGCAGATGACACCAACAAGGGGTCTAACTTTTTGGCTAGGAAGAAATCCCAGCATGCATTTGTCTCCTTTTGCCTAAAAAATGGGGAGGGGAAAGTATTTTGCAATCATTTTTTATTACATTGGAATCAACAATATTATTAGAACCTTTTTCTTATTTGTTATAATTAGGAAAAATTTAATTGATTAAAATGCTTCAAATAAAATTCGTAGTTTTTGGAGAAAACTATAGATTTCACTCTATGCAAATCCTGATTAAAATATTGAATTGGAGCTTTTTTTTCTCTGTCCACAATTCCCTTGTGTAGCAATAAAAGAATTAAAAATGAAAACTTTATTTTCACCTTCTTTTTTATCTTATTTTAGTCTTCTTTTCTAATATCTTCAAATGACATGATTTCAAATGATTTGTATTTCTTATAAATAAAGTTTAAAATTATAATTAAATATGATATAAATTTTAGTTTTAAATTTGTGGTGGGGAGTAACATGGTTTATAGTAGGAAAGAATAATTTGTTTATTTTTCATTTTGTTACAGTGATTTATTTTACATTAACAATATGCACCACAAAGTGGAAGATTTTTTTGTCAAGAAGAGACTGACTGCTTCTTGCATTGGCATTGTTGGGCAGCCTCTGAATCCTGAAGGAATGCTTGCTTTCCAGGTTTGTTCAGACTTTGCAACCATCTTTCTTGATATTCCCCAGTTGCCCACATGTTTTTATGTTGTTTCTCTTTTTCTTTTTTATGAAATTTTTCATCATATCTACAGCTCTCTTTCTTTCTCTCTCTTTTTTTTTCCAGGTTTGTTTAATGTTGCCTCTTTTAACTGTCTTTTTTCTCTCTCTCAATTTGTTCATCTCTTCCTCTCTCTTTCTCTCAATTTGTTATATCTTCCTCTCTCTCTCTCTCAATTTTTTCATCTCTTTCTCTCTTTCTTCATCTCTTTCTCTCTTTCTCAATTTGTTCATCTTTCTTTCTCAATTTGTTCATCTCTTTCTCTCTTTCTTCATCTCTTTCTCTCTTTCTCAATTTGTTCATATCTCTCTCAGAGAGAAAGATGAACAGATTGATAATCTGTTCATCTCTTTCTCTGTTAGTCACTCTCTTTATCAATCTGTTCATCTCTCTCTCCCTCATCTTTTTAGGATCATCTTTTTTTTTTCTCTACTGACACATAATAATAGTCTGTAAATAATTTGCTTTGTCAGCAATCTTTAAGAATCGAATTCTGTGTCCACATTTTGTTGCAATGGCAAAACAACATACTACCTCCCCTTCTTATTTATCTTGGCATCAGGGTGCTTTCCCCTAAACTGTACCTCTTTATCACCTCATCAGAAAAGTGATTTTTCTTTATATTAAGATATTGATTTTCAGTTAAATATATAGGAAAGAATCAATTTGATGTTGTCATGATAAATATTTCCTTTTTCTTCTTTACCTTTATCAGAAGTGTCAAGTCTAAAAAGAAATAAACACTTTACTCATATGTTCCTTATACAGGCAAGAAGAACTGTACCCAGAGGTGATTAATTCAAGTGTGGGTAGTGTGTTTTAATTGAGGTGGCATGATTTTTCTGTATGTGCATTTAAAGGGTCAATGATTTTGATATTTAAGTAAAAAAAGAAATTTAAAGATAAAGAATAAGTTTTTCAGAACCTCTGCCAACCTCATCCCTAGGACATCTTGCAGTTTCTCATAAGATCGAATATGATGAAGCCCTGGCAAAATTACTATGTAAAAAGAATCTTGCATAGATTAAATATTGATTTGTATAACTACTGTAAAAATCAAAAATATATTCCTGCACGATCATCTTGTCACAAAGTGCAACTGAATAGAATCTTTCAATGCCTGTTGTGACATCATAAAAACCTGCAAGTAAAAACTTTAATTTGTTTTCTCTTTGAGGTTTGGGAGGAAAAGTGCAGGGAGTTTATAATAAATGGGGAAGGTGGGTGGGAAATGTCCCCATTATATTTTATTTTCATTATAAAATTTTGGTGTTTTTTTTTCTTGTAAATTTTTGGCATGGGGCAAAAATTGGACAAAGAAGAATGCGAGAAAATTAGGTATAAAGAAAGTGAAAAAAAAAAAAATTTCCGTTTGGCATATTTTGTCCTTTGTTGCATGGTGATGTACACGTTGAGAGATAAACACTTGTGTGTCCTGAAATGCCCATAAGCAACATGTCAGACTCGGAACACGAGTCCATGTAAAAATAATGTAAAGAAACAAGAAGGACCAATATATATGTGTAGAAACAAGTGATAATGAATTAACAATAAAGGGTTACATATACAATAGAATATTGTTGTGTGCTAATGAACATTAATAAGAAAACATTTAAGCTAGTGAATTGCTTGCATATGTGTAGTTTAGATGTAGGAGAAAGTCCTTGAAAAAAATGGAGTGAAAGGTGCGTAAGTATGTGCGTGTCCCAAAAAGGAATGCATTCTTCTGCGAGAAACTTACATGTTGATGTAAAAAGTGAGAAGAGGCTGCGAATAATTATCAAGGAGTATTTATAGTGCCAGAAAGCATCCCCTAGTAGTGGTTTTGAAAATTAGGGGGCGGTAACCCGAAAGCTTCATCAAGTTTATGTTGACGTAAGTAAATATGTGCATGAAATTTTTTAATTTTAAAATTAAAAGAAAATTTGATGTGACTGGATATATAGTTTAACCAATTTCATTTAGTTTATTTTTCTCGTTATTTATATATTTTAATCAGTTTTGTAGTGATAATATAATTTCCTAAGAAAGGTGAAATGTAAGAACCTGAACATAAATTTACAGTGGATGATGTAGCAATTGAAGCACTTTCTATACACCTTCATTTTGATAGATTGCATTCTCTTTTAATTAAAGTAGCATTTTTTTTTTTAAATGAAAATTATGGTATGACTCATTACATTGAGTATCTAATGTATTGAATGCTCCCTTTTGTCTTAATATAATATTTTATTTAAATTCTTTGAGGTTTCTTCAATGTGACAATTATAACTAGTGATAGTAAATTCCTTTCAGTTTTAGCTTTATTTTATTTTGATGCTAGCAGTAGAGCCCGGCGTTGCCTGGGGATGTAACAGTAAGAGATAGATCAAGTATCGATCATCATAAAGACTGAAAAATAAAATTGACAAAGATTATTCTTTGAGTTTGATGGACATGCATGTCTTAGTCTTTTTTTTTTGTTTTGTTTGGGTTTTTTTTTTTTTTATGAATTGGTCAAACAAAAACATTATTTCAATCATTATGATCTACCGATTGAATAGAATTTTATTATAAACAATTGTTTTGTAAATGGAATTTTTAAAGCATTCTGAATGTAAAAATAAAGAAAAAAAGTGTGCAAGACAATAAGAAAATATATCTGCCAAAAAAAAAAAGTGAAGTTTTATTTGAAATTGGTTGAAAATGTAGGAAATCTGATCTCATATAAACGAACACACAAAATAAGCTGGGTTTTATAATGAGTATAACTTGATATGAGTTGCCCCCCCCTTTCATTTTCATGATGCCTCTTAATTGTGTTTCAAATTGATTTTGTACAAAAAACAATTGTGTTTTTCCAATTTTTGGTGCTGTCAGAACCACCGCGATGTAATTTTACGTAGCCCTGTGAAGTTTTGTTGAAATCGGTTGAAAAATGTAGGAAATCTGATCCAATATATAAACGTGTACACACACACACAACTTGGGTTTTATAATAAGTATGATTAAGGCTTTCATTGTTTTAGATGTAGTTGCAACAAATTTTATTGTAAACTTAGAATAAATTCTGTTCAATTGTAGTTGTGATAGAGGTGATGGAATGTTTTGATTTATTGCATTTGTAAGAATGGTTCGCTATTCTAATTTGAAATATTTTACAAGCCTTTTATGGTATTAGAGGAAGTTAAAAGTATTTTCAATGTATTTCACCTCTTTGTATAAATACTGACAGATACAAATTCTGAGTGCTCTTAAATAGAATCTGAATTATTATAGATTTTATTTTGTTATGGTCAGAATATAAATTTATGAGATCAGAAAGTAAGGAGTAAATGAAAGACTTTTCCATTGCTTGTATTCTTTCAGCTGAACTCCTTGGGAGACATTTTCTTTCAAAAATACAATGCAAACCACAAATTTCATGACAAAACCTTTTCTGCTGGACCTGGTGACCATGTAGTTCAGCTGACAAGGGAGGCCAAACACCGAGGCTCTTACTGGATGGACCATTTGCGAGAAAATATACAAACAGATAATTTTTGTGATGCTGAACACCAAAATATCATCTCTTTTATTAAATGTAAGTGATAAATTAAATAAATTTTGAATTTGGCACTATATGTATGAATTTTTTTTTTTTTTTTTTTTAGATAAAGAAAAACTGAGAAAGATACCTATCTTAATCAAGCAGTTTCATTTACCCACCTGCTAAGATTTAGGTGACAATATATCAAACACTGCATCCCTGTTTTGTTATTTTACTATCCTGAATATAACATCACTTGGCTAAGTGACAAATTCTATTTGTATATATAGTTTATGGTTATGCTATATGTATGGGGAAAAGTCAAAGATAGGACGTATGTAAATAGATAAGTCAACATCAAGTGGCAACAGTCTGTTTCCTACTTGAATGCAATGTTATCTTCAAGAAATAAATAGAATGTTGAACAGTGTTTCTCTTTCTCTCTCTCTCTCTCTCTCTCTCTCTATATATATATATATATATATATATATATATATATATATACACACACACACAGATCTAATACACATAATATTTGTCACTTCGCTGAGGTTATATTAACGCCTTGTTCTGCAAGGGAGGTAAATCTTGATGCTATTTTAACGTTTATTCCCCTTTACTAAATTGATAAGTGAAAAATACGAATAAATGCGAAATTTATTTTAATTTGAAATTTATCTCGTTTCAGCTCTGTCCGAACCTGCCAATAGCCATGTTCTGTGTCGTCTTTGTATGGCGCAATGTGATAATGAAGATATTCAATCTGATGACGAAGATGTCATTAGTGGAAGCTGTATGACATGTAATTCCACTCTACGGGAAAGTAAATGGATTGTTGATGGAGTTGAACTGGTAAGTTGCTGAAGAGATTTTCAATAAGAATCAGTCTTTTTTTTTTCATTTTTCACTGTTGTATGATCATTTCCTTCCGTGTTGCTGTCTATAAACCATATGTAGAGTTAGTGTAATTTTGTGTGAACTATTTAGATGAGGTAAATAACAATATACATTGTGGGTGGTGTAGGAAAATTCTGTAGCTTTTTAAAAAAAAGATTTCTTTTCAAATTTATTTCTTTAAAAAATGGTAAATAATAAATATTGCATTGTAGTTGGTTCTCATTTTTATAATATTGTAAATAAACATTACCAAGGGAGACTTTATTTTATATAGTAATCCAAGGGAGACTTTGTATAGTAATAGCAGTGTCAACAGAGAAACTGTTGTTTTGAAAGACTGGATTGTTTTTTTATTTTTATTTTTTTTTGCAGGCATGATGGTTAAACTTTGCCAATGATTGTAAGCAAAGTAAAAAATTTATTCTTTACTAGCTCTAGAATTACATAATCTTCTGAAATTTATGTGAACATCAGGAAATTTTGTAATTTACAATGAAAATATATTAGAACAGTTCTCAACCTTTTTAAGCAACAGCACACCTAGGAGCAAATGAAAATATCTTAGCACAGCAACATTTTTAAAGGGTATACATTTAAATGTTATGAAATAAAACCATAGATTTAAAAAAAATAATAATAATACACACCCACAAATATGTACTTTACATTCAACGATTTGTGCAGCTTGTTTAGTGTGAAACCTATGCCTTGTGGGTTTTTTTTTTTTTTGCAATTTCTTCAATGCTTGATCAAATGTCCAATAAGCAGACATTCATTTATTCAGTTGAGTAGTCTTTCTCACAACTTATTTTTGATGTTAATTAGGGTTAAGAAGCCTAATCCACATAAATAAGAAGTAGAACTGAACTTTTTATGCCACATTAACTGATACTTATACATTTACACACACACACACACACA